TTTTTAGCTTTTCGTTCGTTCGTTCGTTTCAGCCAAATGACGTCCACTGCTGGACAAAGGCCTCCTCCAAGGTTTTCCACAATGCACAATTTTATTTAGCTTTACCTAAAATTATTTTAATAAGGCAGAAATACCTTATTACAATCTGCATCATTTTCTATGGGTTACCATTATAAAACCTTGTTATTATGTAAGTTCCTTGGCTGTACAAATAAATAATGCTAACATAATATTTGATTTTACAGGCATTAGCAGACAAAGGAGCCCCAGACATGGATGTGGTTGGCTCTAATATTCCTTTAAAGTCCTTGCCACACTGTAAAAAGTCAAATTGTAACGGCCTCTTAAGGCCACATATAGTATGGTTTGGAGAGAATTTGGAACATGATGTATTGGAAAAAGCTGGTAAGTTACCATGTACCTTGTGTACCCAAAGACTTCATACATATACCTGCCACTCTTCTAGAGTATATCTGTAGATCTTGGCTACACAGGATTACAGCAGCAGAATAATATCATACCATGTAAAAGAAGAATCACAATCTTAGTGAGCAATATCATGACTTAGAACAGCCTGTCTAGGGCCACTTTCACAATAGGGCGTGAAAAGCGCGGCAGCGGCGTTTTTATAATGTGAAGGCATGTATCACATTGTATGAAATTATCGGCAGCGCGTCTTTCGCGCGTTTGTCGCGCTGCTAAAGTCGCATAAATGTGAAAGCGATCTAATAGTCTGTAAACGTACCTACTTCAACAATTTACAAAAAATATAATAATATAGTCCTAATCCGGATGTAAGTAATTCCTAATTTTAATTTCAGGTAAGGTAATGGAATCCTGTGACGTCTGCCTAGTGGTTGGCACGTCATCAGTGGTCTACCCAGCGGCAATGTTCGCTCCGCAAGCCGCCGCCAGGGGCGCCATAGTCGCAGAGTTTAACCTGGAACCCACACCAGCCACTCCTGACTTCCACTACTATTTTGAAGGACCTTGCGGAACCACTTTGCCTTTAGCTTTGGAAGACTAAAAAGAATAAAATTAGGTGTTTACAAATATTAATATTTTACAAAGTTTAGAAGTATGAAGTAACAGCATGTATATTTAAATGTTTATTTTTATACAATGTGATAATGTAGTGCAATAAGCATTTGTAAATGTATTGTAAATATATTTATGTTAGGAATAAATTGTTAATCTTGTTTTTAAGTTTTTCTTTACTTCTTTAAAGTTATACAACCTTTTTCACTGATAAAACATTTCGCCAAAATTGAGATTTATTTCTGGACGACAATTTTTATGTTTATGGTTGTCATTTCACAGTCCATCCATCGTCAATGATTAGCATCACAAAAATCCAGAAGAATACAGTATTGCACACACACGCTAAATCCCTAATACGCAATTCAGGCGATATAGCCAAATTCAAGCAAGATCTCAAGACTGCTAAAAATATAGCCTTTTTGTCCGGGGCAGGTATCAGTTCAGAGTCTGGTATACCGACCTTCCGCGGGCGTGGTGGTTATTGGAGAAGGTACTCAGCTGCATCCCTGGCCACTCCTGAGGCGTTTAACGAGAACCCTAGCTTGGTGTGGGAGTTCTACCACCATAGAAGAGAGGTGGCGGCAAAAGCTCAACCAAATGCGGTATTTATATTGATTTTATGAACAAGGCACAGCTCCTAAATCACACTACACAAGATGGCGCATATTCACAGACCAAGAAGGGCACTGTAACGATCATGGATCATAATGATGATACCTGAATGCGGGCGGGCGCAGGACCGGTCGTTGCCGAAATACTTGGGGAAGGCCTTTGTCCAGCAGTGGACGTCATTTGGCTGAAACGAACGAACGATGATGATGAAACTGCCAATAATTGCTTATTTCAGACTATAGTCTGGTCTGCGAGCACGTAGAATTTTGTCCAATGACCCCAAACTACCCATACTTATAGCTCGCGCGTAATGAGGGCTATCGTTTTTATACTTAACAGTTGGCACCCCTGGCGATTGACAGGACCTTACTCTACAGTGGCGCCATCTTGATGAGTGCAAATGCGATAGTCCTCCTACCACTTTAGCGCTCACCAGTTGGTGCCACTGTCTTCGCTACTAACAAGTGACAGGACCTTACTCTACAGTGGCGCTAACTGGTGAGCGCTAAAACGATAGCCCTCATTATGTTGCTCTCGCGCTCGCACACTCACTGCGGGCGCCCGTCGCACAGTTGCGACAACAATAATAATTACGCGCGAGCGATAAGGATGGATAGCTTGGGGTCATTGGACAAAATTCTACGTGCTCACAGACCGAGCTTTAGTAAGTAAAGATCTTATTTCTTAGTCTGTTTTAGGGCCACATAGCAATAGCTAAGTATGAAGCCAAGAATGGACAGGCAAAAACGATAACCGTAGTCACTCAAAATGTGGACGGTTTGCATGCCCGGGCCGGAACCAAGAACTTGGTGGAACTTCATGGCAGTTTGTTCAAGACACGATGCACCAAGTGCAATGAGGTGTTGGTGAATAACGACAACCCTATTTGTGAGGTTGTATCTTTTACCGGCGTGTTCTTTACTTATTATCAAACTAGCTTTCCGCCCGCGGCTTCGCCCGCGTGGAATTTTGTCTGTCACAGAAAAACTTTATCGCGCGCGTCCCTGTTTCAAAAACCGGGATAAAAACTATCCTATGTTCTTTCCCGGGACTCAAACTATCTCTATGCCAAATTTCATCAAAATCGGTTGCGAGGTTTAAGCGGGAAAGCGTAACAGACAGACAGACAGAGTTACTTTCGCATTTATAATATTAGTTGGGATAATTTACTTCTACTAGACTTGCCTATGGGCATACAGATTCTAATACTATTCAGATTCTAACTAGGTACAACCCGTTCGTGCTAACTGCGCACTTCGCTAGAATTGCTGATGCTTCGTTGACTGGCAGAGAATGCCACCTGGCATTAAGTCCGCCACTGTACAGTTTTTTGTGCAAAAGTATAAATAAAAAATGCTACTCTCCCGCACACCCTCCGCGTTTGGCCCGCCAGTTAACTCGACCGGGTATAAGATCGTTTGAACAATAATTTTTAGAAAACAGCGAAAATTCTGTAGAATTATTTTTATTTTGCGATCGTTTTTAGGCACTAGCTAATAAAGGAGCGCCAGGAAAAGATGTCGTGGATTCAAAGATTCCTATAAAATCTCTACCATACTGCAAAAAAACAAACTGCAATGGTCTATTACGACCACACATTGTGTGGTTTGGCGAGAGTTTGGAAACGGCGGTGTTTGAAAAGGCTGGTAAGATTATAATATGAACCTTAATTAACTGTGTTAGTAGAACCTACCTACTGAAAAACCGTAAGACCTTATGACAAGACAATATACACTCGTCAGCAAATAAATCGCACCACCCGCGACAAGCATTTTCAAACGTATGCATCCCTACTTCCCACCAATATTGGCACCATTTAAAAGCCTAGTTCTAAACTTCATTTTATTAAAGGAAAGGTTTTTACCCCAAAAATGTGTCTTTACAAGGATCCAGAGTCACTTCTTCAAAAAATAGGTAGTTACGCTATAGAAATTTTTTATGACTATAAAACTGTTAAGTTGGGATTAATCGCTATCCATCTGCTAAAGAGGACACGTGTGATCATTATTTGGTTTTATAACCATAAAGTTTGGTCTAATTGATCCCAGAGGTGAGCCCAAAGTGAGGTCTTTTTTCAAGTCACATGTATGGTATATGTTAATCATTTATTAAGAAATTAAATGTGTTTTTCTTTAAGGATATTTATTGGGCTTTCAAATAACACCAATATTGTTGGGGCACCATTATTGTGTCAAAAGAAAATCTTTAAAGTTCGCGTCGCGGGTGGTGCGATTTATTTCCTGTCGAGTGTATGTTACGGATACCACTGCCTTGCAACTAGTCCAAATAAATCATTCAATCATCAAACATTAACCTTCCACTACCAATTACTGGCCAACTGTCCTTCATAAGTTATGAAAGTTCCTTTGCCAAATGACGTCCACAGCTGGACAAAGGCCTTCATCCAGCCCGCATCCAGGTTCTTCCAGAGACCTTCACCAGATCGTCAATCTACCTAAAGTACGGCCAACTAGCAGCGATACAAAAGGTCGATACGACTGTCGAGTTGACAATATATTCTGTCTCTTCCCATTTTGTGTATTTGTCGTAATGTCTCGTTCTCCCGCCAAAATTTATGTCAAAGTCAGACGGGTTCACCCATGACATTGGGTTTGTTTACATTCGATATCGCTTCTCGTTGACCGTACTTTAGTGGGGGGGCTGCCAATGACTTAACCTATCCCTTTTTATTCCAGACGAAGCAATATCCAAATGTGACGTGTGCCTCATAATCGGGACTTCATCGCTTGTATACCCGGCGGCTGGCTTCGGTCCTTTAGCTTCGGCGCGCGGGGCTATAGTAGCGGAGTTCAATATAGAGCCGACTAACAATAACTTCAACTATTACTTCGCGGGACCTAGTGCGACGACTTTACCGCAAGTGTTGAATGATTAGGTGCTAAACAAGACTTACCATTAGCCTAAAGCAGTAAGGACGATGCACACTTATCAATCCGTTAAGTAAGTAACGGATCATAACCGTTTCAACGCGAAGCTGACCGTGTTTTGATGAAACTTACTTTATATGAAACTTCGTACTGAACTGCAACGCACACTTATCGCGGTTGACAGCGAGGCGAAAAGCGATATGGAGATGTTCCCTCTCCGGTTTGATAAGTGTGCTTCTCTACATTACGAAATGAAAATGGAGGATTTTGTTTACATTTCCTACGCTTGCAAGACGGGTTGCGGAGGTCCGATGTTCGCATATTTATCCCATAGTTCTCTTTACGATAGAAGAGTGGATGGAGTACCTAAGGAAAAATAAGCTGTCAGTCAATAGATGACCCCATAAAATGAAAACAGATATTAAGAAATAAATAAGATTTTATTTTACATAGTGAGTATTATTTAATTTCATTATTTCTTATTGTCTTTATGTTTCGCGAAGAACTTTCCTATACTGCCAAAAGCTTTCCCGAACGTGCAGTTATCCAAAAGTGATTTCTGAAAACGAAAAGTGTTTTTTTAATCCTACTACTTTAATATACGGTGTTTAATAACTAAATAAATCAACGTAATCAGGCATTTACGTGTTTTTAACAGAACGGTGTTATTATATTCTAACTCAGCCTTTCCCAAAGTGGGCGATAACGCCGCTTTGTCGGCACTGCAGGCCTAAAGGGGTAATGCCCGTTTTCACCATCAATTCCTAATTTTAAGGGACCCCTATGAAAACAAAATGCCCGTTGTTACCATAGGGGTCACTTAAAATTAGGGATTGATGATGAAAACGCGTAAGAGACCCAGAAAAATCGGGGCGTTGTGTAGATGTTTGGGGAGCGATTTGTAATTTCATCTATAGTGGTTTTTAAGTAGGTGAAAAAATAGGGCGCTAAAAATAATTTATTCTAAAAGTGAGCAATAGACAAAATAAGTTTGGGAACTCCTAACTTATCTAACTTACTTGTACAAAAGAAGGCAGCGCGTTCATAGTCTGAGGCCTCGAATACCGTTCGTCTAGTAGCAGGACGGACGCGTAGTCATTCGCGTGCCGCACTGCTCTACCTAGAATGTTTCAATCCGTCGTAATTTCAATCTTACTGACTTGTCTTACGGTATATATGTTTTATAAAAATTACTATTTGTTAGTGTTTAAAATTTAAATGATTGTGCTATTGATTTTGGTAAATCCTGGTGGTAGCTCCAGTTTTTCAGAATTATTTTTATCGGGGGACGCGCGACCTCTAAAGATTTTTTATGACGGACCTAAATCCGCCAGCGAATCCGGGGCCGAAACGAGTCCATGTAATTATATTATGTTAAACGTTCGGGTACCATAAACCATAACACTACTGTATGTAAGTTCTCATGTGCTACATAATAGTCGCGTTATAAATCAGTATGAACATGTATGGAAGTACGCACGTTACACCTATTTGGTATCGGCTGATTGCTCATACAAATTAGAAGCCGACCAAGCTAGGCCGACCAAAAGTCTTTAGTCTAAGGGTGGATTCGACCAAACAAGAGTAAATATTAGAGTAGGCGCACACCGTTGATTTTTCATCGGCCGATAGTTTAGTCGGGCAGTTGATCAGTATGGGCATGTATGGGAGTGCGCACACTACGCCGATTCGATTTGGCCGATTCTTCATACAAATTAAAATCGGGCACAACTATCGGCCAACTAAAAATCAACGGTGTGCGCCTACTCTTAATCTCAGAATAAACTTGTCGTTTTGACATATTTCCCATACTGAAACTATCAATGTGCCAGTTATACCAGGAGTTGTTCTCGGATTAAAGTTTGGTCGAATCGGGCCTAAATGTAATAAGACCACTAAGAAAATTCTACTCACCTATACACTGGTTAACGGCCTTCATGCACAAGCTCTCGTAATACAAGTTTCCTGCGCCCGCGCCGACGGTTCTGTTAAGGTAGCTCATCTTTTCCTGCAGTTCGGCCGACTTGCTGTTGGGATACGGCATTCCCACCACTATGACGCAGCGGCCGAGGTCGTCACTGGGAAATAAGAAGTTTATAAAATCATTACATTACTAGCGGCCGCCCGCGACTTCGTACGCGTGGATCCCGTTTTACCCCCTTCATCTATCTTACGCGGTTTAGATTTTTTCATACAAATGTTTTTTCCCGCTAACTCCCTTTCCCGTGGGAATTTTGCAATATCCTGTTGTGACTAAGCTTTAAATTTACTAAGATACCTGCATGCCAAATTTCAAGCGTCTAACTTAGGGGCCGTCCATAAATTACGTCATCGATTTTTTCAGATTTTAGCCCCCCCCCCCCCTACAATCTATCTATCGTTTACCGAACTCCGCAAGCCAACCCCCCCCCCCCCTAATTTAGAATGACGTAATATATGGACGGCCCCTTAAGCGGTTTAGATTTTTTATACAAAAGGATTTTCCCGCTAATTCCCGTTTCCGTGGGATACTATAACCTGCCCAGGAGTACGAAGAATAATTGTACCAAGTTTCGTTAAAATCCGTCGAGTAGTTTTTGTTTCTATAAGGAACATACAGACGGACAGACAGACAGACAAAAATTTTACTGATTGCATTTTTGGCATCAGTATCGACCATTAATCACCCCCTGATAGTTATTTTGAAAATATATTTCATGTACAGAATTGATCTCTCTACAGATTTATTATAAGTATAGATGATGTATATTCCTAACGCTATATGCCTTGGACTTCTTCAAGGCGAGTGAGAATAGACTGGGTAGGTATTTATCACCCTAGACGGTATCTCACATAACAGCAGATGTGATTGCTGTCAATTGTCAAAAAAAAGGCTGCCTTTTATTGCATAAAAAAACCACATACCAAAAAACAATGTAGGCAGACCTCGCACTCGAGTCTAGTGAAGGTTTCGAGAATATTATGGTCATAAGACATTTATTTTAGAAAACTAACAATAAGCCCACAAAGTGCTATATCAGTTGGATCTACGATCTTATCCGCTTTTAAAAGGATTTCTACTTTGATTTATGTCTCACATGCATTAGTTAGTCATAATAAAACAATGTGTTACAGCTGCTATTTTTATGCTTACCTAAAGTTCAACCCTTCACTCAACTTGCCTCCAACGACACTCAACAATAAGGCTCCATTTTGATCACCACTTTTCTTCTTAACTGCCGTGGCATATTTACTTAAAACCTGAAAGAAATACTTACTAATTAGAAATACCAAAAATATAAGATGGGATTCTCCTAAATGTAGTATGGTGAATAGACAATGCAGACCAGTAGCCTTATTCATGTAACAAAACTTCAATGACAACAAATCGCTGAGTTGTGATCCTATCGAGTAATCGTTCTATCGAAAATGACCCTTGTGAATACGGATTTAGAACTGTTTTTCAATAGGACGACTTATGAACGTCAGCGAGATCTTGACTGTCAAAATACGTGAATTAGGTCACAAGGTAAAACTCTATTCTTATTGTGTATGTAATAAGAGCTATTTTCTGCTTACCTGATCTACTTCGGCAGCAGACTTAGGCTCCCTAAACACAGTCTTCTTCTTACAAATAGCGTCAATTACACCTGCCTTCTTCAAATGGTCGTAGACGCTTTGCTCGTAGGAATACGAGGGTAGGAAACAAACCACGCCCCCTGGCACTATGTTGCAAACGTTTCTGAGGATACGGCCGACTTCGTTCAACTGTGGACGACAATTTTCAATCTTAATTCGATGAAATAAAGCACAGAATTACGTCTCATCAGTAGTCCAAAGTGATTACCAAACGAAACTTACGAAGGGCCTAAGTAGTGAATAAATGATTTGATTTCAGCATAGGGAGTGTAGGCCTCTGGCAAAATAGAGAGGGTTGTGCTCCTAAATGACGAGCGTATATCTAGACACGCGGTAGCGTGTCAAGCCAAGTTCAAGTAACAGAACTGGCGAGCAGCACCGTGTGTAATATTACACGAACCATTTGGAGCCACTTTTGACCGCCTCTTAACTCAAAAACCATTTCATTTGAACGTGTCAAAGGCACATCTTGCGAGATACATAATATGTGCTCCAATAAATACTTACCAGTTCACCTGACCCGCGCCGTTCATACGAAAAGTTCAAGCCAACATTAGTAGGTCCTTTTGACATACAAATTGCTATAACATTCTCTGGGGAGACCACGTGGTCGCATTTGACTATGTTGACGTCATCAGTCTGCTTGGAATCTCCGGTGAGGAGCCGTAGGAATTCCGATATGGGTTCCATTGTACCACCAGCTACGATTACCTGTAAAATATAGGGGTAAATAAAATGTAAAATAATGCAGCAGTAATATTATTTCATTGTAATATGATGTGATACAGTTCAAGGAATTATTAGCAGCTAAGAATTAAAAATGCTATGGAACAGTAATCGAAAAGTTGAACCTCACACGAGTATAGGTCGCGCAACGAGTTGAGGCAATCAACAAAAGATGAGATTTGTTTGTGTTTATTTATTTATACTTGTTGCACAAAAACCACTGTACAGTGGCGGACTTAATTCCGGGTGGCATTCTCTACCAGTCAACCGGTCAAGCTGAGAAAGTTTATGTATCTGTATATGCTCGCCGCGCTGTGTTTTTTGTATTAAAATATTAAGTTAGTTCAAGTACCTACTCTCTTTTACTTGTGTTGATTGCCTCAACTCTGGTTGCGCGACTTAAATCAGGTACATATTTTATCTAGACATTTTTAAACAAAATAATGATAATAACCTTAAAATTATAATACTCACAGACCGACACTGCTTCACGACTTCAACGAAGTGTTCGGCCGGGTTCAGCAGAAGGTACTTCAGGTTGCCAGTTAATTCATCTCCTTTCTGCACCAACACTCTTCCATTCTCCGAGCGTTCACACAGCATTTGTAGGAAGTCCAGAATGGCGTACAAACCTGTACCAGGCGATGTTTCTGATTGGGTCTGGAATTAGGAGAATTTAACAAACTTAAATGCTGATCTGCTGATAAAGTTTCTTTCGAGACAATGAAGATTCTTTAATTTGAATGCTATCCTTACTAATAAATATTATAAATGTGAAAGTAACTATACATTGTTTATGTCTGTCTATCTTTTCACATTTGAACGACTATAGTCTGGTCGCGGAGCACCTATAATTTTGTCCAATGACCCCAAGCTACCTATCCTTATCGATCGCGCGTAATTATATTGCTGTCGCGCTCGAACACTCACTGCGGGCGCCCGTCGCACAGTCGCGACAGCAATATAATTACGCGCGAGCGATAAGGATAGGTAGCTTGGGGTCATTGGACAAAATTCTACGTGCTCAGCGACCAGACTTTAAACAGATTTTGACTAAAGGTATAGATAATTTGGATCCGCGGAAAAAACACGGGTGTTTTTTTATCCCGGTTTTTGAAAGTGGGATACACGAGGGATAAAACCTTTCTGTGACAGACTAAATTCAATACTGAATTTTCTAAATTTTACCTGCACTCTTGGTGTTGATTCACATTCTTTCTCTTCAGTATTATTTTCTAAATTCCCATCCTTTTTCTTAGAAATATTCTGCAGAAAGCTCTCTAAAGAACTCTTCTTGGATGGTGCTGCTTTCTTAAATTCCTCTTCTAACATTTGTGGAGTGTATCTCATAGAGAACCCATGTAGTTTTGGTGGCAGCCTTGATTTTCTGCATAGTTCTATTAGAGGAGTCAAATTTAGATGATCTATATCTGCCTTTATGACAAAATCTTCTAAAGTGAGTATTGTAGGAGTGTCTTGACTTTTTTCTTGATTAGGTTTTGTTACTATACCTGCAACGTACCAGAAACAGTGCAATTAATTACTCGTTAAAAACTTTTTTGATAAAAAAAAAACTTGGAGTGCAAGTGTGGTTGTGTTCCCCAGTCGATGAAGCACATGATGTCGTGCCCTGCGTGCCCAAACAACTGACTGCACGCAGGAAGATTTAATGAATGCTACTGACAACGAAACTCTGTGTAGGTTTGTTGCCGACACGACAAAGAAGAAGATAAATACCTTACCTAGTAATTTCCCAACAACGTAACCCAGTTGATTCAACGTCAGCAAATTCTTGCTTGACAACCTCGATCCGTACTTATTAATGTACAGTTGCAGGAACGTTTTCACAGAAGACAGGTGCTTAGCGGACACGGGAGCACAATGCGCGTTCTCTAATGCTGCAGCCAGCCCGTGAGCTTCGTCCATTATTAGCACATTGTCTTGTAATTTGAGAGACATTCCAGACCTGGCCCCAGAACTGACTATGCCTGCATGACTGACTAGTGCTACCTGAAAGTTTTGTTTTAATTGTGATTAACGGCTGTGTGGTTCCAGCAGAGTAGAATCGGGCCACTAACAACGTTCTTCCCATGGATTTCGTATAAAAGCGAATAGCCCGATGATGATCTTTTAGGAAGATATCTATCATCAGACTTAACTAAAATCACATAAAAATCAGTATTTTGTTTATACAGATTTTATGTGAATTTAGTTAGATTATGGCAAAAGTTGGAACTGCAGGGCTACTCCAGAACGGTAATTACGTAATTTCGCGTCTGTTTGTCACCGTCGCTCATGGTAGCATCTTGCTTTGCGTGAAAGAGATGGCAACATTCGAAATTTCGGAAAAAATTTTTGGAGTAATCCCACAATAATCTAGGAATTACCTCAGCATCATCTAACGCTGCTCTGCTAGCGTAATACGGACACGCCTTCAGTTCTTTCGCACATTTGACCAGGTCTTCCATGTCCATAATATCAGTCAGGATTCTCTCCTTCAGTTGGGTTATGTTATTCTGATTGTAGAAGGGACAACTTGCACATGATCTTGTTTTGGTCTTCTTTAACACTTTGCCGTCATCACCCACTGACGTTGACTTGGTCTTCGATTTCTGCATATCAAGGCATCTGAAAGTTTATGCAAGGTAAGTAAAAGAAAAATCCACCTACTTTCTAAATTGAGTGTTTTGTCTTGAAGAGCTAGTAGGTCATCAATTTCGTATTGGGCCTTTTTAAGTTTGAGAATGAAAATTGTAGTGTCATGTACAATTGGTACCAAAAGATATGTAAAGAAAGCGCATGCAGGGAAGCGCTGGACTCAAGACCGTTTCCAATCAATCAACGTGGAAAGCATCAGGAGAGGCCTATGTTCAGCAGTGGACGTCCTATGGCTGAAATGATGATGATTCAAATTCAAATAATGATGATGCCTCCATCATCTATCTTCAATCTAGCCTAGAACCTTTTCTAGGCTAGACCTTTTGATTTCATAAGTGCCAAATCTTGATCAAAAGAATTTTATTAATTCATCAATACCTCTCATTTATCAAGTTCACGTTTTTGAGCTTTGTGACTTCAGGGTTGATACAATAATGTTGCCTTGAAGCAAGAGTGACCACCCTTGTATCATCTTTGAATACTGTCCTTTTGATTTCTCCCACAAACTGAGATAACTGGCTATGTGTTCTACTGCTGATGTATATCTAAAACATAGAGAAAGAAATGTGAATAAGTAAAACATGATGGAAGTTACTAAAACCAAGAATTAACTTAAGTACAGAAATGTTGTGATGAACTAGTATAAAATGCTTGGGTTTAAAAGGCATTCTTGTTGATGACAATTTTTAACACTATACTAATGAGCAAAAATCCAAAAACATCTAAAAATATGTAACATTAAGCTTTAAATGAAATTGGCACAAATAGTGCCTACCAGTCTTACAAACATTAGGTTTAAATTCAGTTACAATTTATAGTTTAATACTTTAATTTCACCTTCTTATTATGTTCATCTTCTTCAGCAATTTCTTCATTATCAGACTCATCATCTTTTTCCTCAAATTCTTCAAGAACCAAGTCATTATCCTCACTAACTACATCTTCTAGAACATTCTCTTTATTCTCTTCTACTTCCTTCTTAATTTTTTGTGAATTGTGGAAATAATCATTAGTTTTGGAACTAATTTTTAATTTTTGTTTTGCAACTCGCCTTTTCATTTCAAGCAGCTGCTCATTTCTCTTTTTTATTTTATCCAGTTTTAGTTGCATTGAGCTCAAAGTTTGGTTTTTCTGTATTTTATTGTACTCTTCTTGGAGCCAATCATCATTACCTGTAATCATTTTCAAGTTCTTAGGTCAACTAATCTGAATAAAATTGAAATTCAAAGGCTTTTAAAATCTTGCCTGATTTAATAAATTTATTAATAGAAATAAAGATAAAACAAACAGAATCTTACTTGTACTATTGGAAACTTCAATTTTCAGTTGATTTATTTCACGTTCTAAGTCAACAATAACTTTTTCATTGTAGTCTTTTAACCATTGCAACGCTGAACAACAAATACTTAGTGATTTACCCTGCAAATGTGCATTATTTTGAGTTTTAACTTAATGAAAAAGGAAAATATTACATTCGTAAATACAGGTGTTTTTAAAAGACAATTAACAAGTCAGAGAATACTTACAGTACCAGTAGGACTTTCGAAAACTCCAGCTTTGTTATTATCTATTGTAAAATATAGTTCCTTCATAAACTTTTCCTGAATCGAATAAGGTTTAAAAGGAAAATGAAAAGTTGGATGTTGATTACACTCAGTGCCCATTTTGACCTAAAATAAATGTTGAAAGTAAATGAAATCGTGTTTCAAATAACTTATGAGGCTTATTTATCGCGACAAGTCGTAATATTTTTTGGTAATTTGTTTTTTAACATGCAGTTTGTACATTTATTTACGTTTTTGCCGCTCTAAAATCCTAAAAAAACTGCCAGTCAAAAGTGACAGCCAGTGTCAACACTATTTTACCGATTTATTGCGTTACTGTCACAAAGAACAAGGTAATGCAAAGGTTATAACATAGAGAAAAGTAATAATAAACACGACAAGAGCAATGAGCTATAAAATTGATATGAACCTCCTCTGTTGCAAATTGTCTATGGTACTTTAAGAATGATACAAGTGACATCTTTGTGGAAAATATCTTGATCTTAAAACAGAAATAGAACTGTTTTGCATTACAACAAAACAGTTATTATGTGTAGAATAAAACACAGCGTTCTTCTCACTTTAAAAAAACGCTATTTTTGTTTTCACCCACCAGAATGGGTGATAATGGGTAAAAACCGGGTTTTTACCCAAATCACCCAGTTTAAACCCAATCGGGTGAAATGGGTTTTTACCCACTACCCATCTCTAATCATGACTCATGATGATGCTTGATTCATGAGGCGTGGCGTGCGCGTGCGTGCGTAACTTTAAATCCGAAATTATTATCTAGGGACTAATTATTTATCTTGGTATTATTTATTTATAATGATAAACAATGTGTTTTTGCCTTTAAAGAGCGGTGTCTCATAATAGAACTGTTTTGCATTACAACAAAACAGTTATTATGTGTAGAATAAAACACAGCGTTCTAATGCGTTATATATCAATTTCATAGAAAAAGGATGAGCTCCCCACCAGACGCCTGAAAGGCATCTTAGCATATTAAGAAGTTTTTCACACTTGTTGGAAACAAAGTTACAATGAGGAACTCCGGTAAGTTTTGAATCAAGGATTACACCCAGAAACTTGTATTCATTGAGAATAGGAATAACATTATTAACATAGTACAACTGAAAAGGAGTAGGATTGCGCATACGAGAAAAAATAACTACAGCGCTTTTAGCTACTGATAAATTCATACCATTTTCATCCATCCAGATTTTAAGCAGATTAAGAGAGTTCTGTAATAGGTTTTGAGTTTGCCCTACAGACGGGCTAGATTGATAAAGTAATAAGTCGTCTGCGTACTGAAGTATTTTTATATTATTGCCTAAAGATGAAGCTAGATCATACGTGTATATATTATATAGAAGGGGGCTTAACACAGACCCTTGAGGTAATCCTCTCCACACTGAGCGCTTTGTTTCTGAGTCGGCGACCGGAAGTATTAAACACCGCTGAGATAAAATCTTTAAAATAAAATTACATAGCAAATGGGGCACTTTTAACGCATTTAACTTAGTTTTTAAAACAGATAAAAGAACATTATCATATGCAGAATTTATGTCTAGGAACACCGCTATGGGAGACTCATTTAACGTAAGGGAATACCGAATANTGGTTTTAATGGCTTCCGATTTGCGATACAGGCATAGACAAATCAATCATAGACAATGACAGTTCAGAAATGCAAATAGTGATGTCTTTACTTTACAATTGATTTTGTGAATTAAATTGCTAAAATCTTTTTATAGTCGTGAAAGAAAAGTGGTTCACAATGTGTTAAAATATTTGTCGAAGAGAAATACTAAGGGTTCGGATAATATTTTCATTGAATAATGTTTCCGACAAAGATTGTCAAATTGACTGACATGTTTATCGCATAGTAGGTACAGTCCATTAAAATTAGCTGTGGTTTGTTTCAACTACCTATTTTAAAAAAAATTGTCACTTTCCAAGTGTTGAATTTTATGGAATTGGGAAAGAAGTACCGAGTTTGAAGCGTTCATGAGCAACCATTGCAGTTGAATATTCAAGTTCTGAATTTGATTATTGATGAATAATAAAATAAATCCTACTAGCTCGATTGATGGTTTCATTTAATTTATTTAAACCAGGTTACCTATAATAATATTTTTTCGTTAATTTAGGAAAATATCAAATTAGCCCGTAATCCTTAATCCTGATCACAGATATGGATTAGAGATCCTGATACATAAAGTTAGGCTATTAATTTAACACAGGTACGACTGTACTCAGTGTTGCACTATCAAATGCAATTGACGCGCCTCTATGCCAGGGTTTTTGTGGGTAGATGGGACTCGCGCGCCCCTGAGTTGGTGCCTACCCACTGACACCCGACGGTGTCCACCGGAGCCCAATGAAACGGAGCCCCCGAGTTAATGTCCATATCTGTGGTCCTAAGTAACTTGCGACATTCGTTCGCAGCTCAGTCTATGGATCGCTCTCGGGCTTTCAGGTCTTTCTTGCCGGGCCTCTGCATCGCGGCCCGGGCAGATACCAGACATCCACTGAGATTATGGGTCACCTTACAGACCCGCCGGGCTGACTTTTTTGGGGTCCAACATGCGTGCTTTACCTTAGCATCACACCTTATATTAAAACAATTAAAAGAATCAANCCTAGGTCACTAAGTCTTAAGCCCATGTGTATGTAATTTCCACCATTACAAAAATTGTCACTTAGTACGCAATAAAGATTTGAATTTGAATTTGAATTAGGTAGGACAACTTTTTATGATCATGATTGATATTTTGGAGTCGGTGCGGTGGAAGCTGGGCGCCCGTGCGGTTCGCTAGTCTTTAAAACAGTTGGTTCTTAACCAGTGGTCCGCGGACCACTGGTGGTCCCTGGAGACATTCCAAGTGGTCCACGAAGTGTACTTGCACACTTTGGTTAAAACTACTTTTAACAGATTTTTGCAGTCAAACTGATTTTGAACGATTATGAGGTGGTCCCTGACAAGACAGGAATTTGGTAAAATGGTCCCTCATGACTTAAAGGTTAAGAACCACTGCTTTAAAAGAATTTATTGATGATAATTGAAAATTGTCGAGAAAACCACTAATTAGCATTTGTTATACCATGTCAAGGCGATTAGAGTCCTCAATGACCTTGGGCGTTTGACCTTCACGCCGCGAGCAACACCCGCGTACCCCGCACCAAAAACTCCGATTTGACACCGATCAAAAATAGAACTGTTTTGCATTACAACAAAACAGTTATTATGTGTAGAATGTGGGAGATGGGGCACTGTGAATTAAGCAAAAGAGTTTTAGTAAATCCGTTTCATTAATGGTCAACACCAAGGATTGACCTATCTTTCGCAGTTATTAAATAATCTCTGGGTGTTGCTTAAGATAGTAATTCATGCTTCCAAAATCTTAGAAATTCGCACAAAAATGTAAAATGGCTCTTAATACTTGTGATTACTTTCATGTGTACTACCTTTCATGTGTGCAAGCTGAAGTGGCAATGGGCAGGGCACATAGTACGCAGAACTGACGGCCGATGAGGCAGCAAGGTTCTGGAATGGAGGCCGCGTACCGGAAAATGCAGCGTGGGACGTCCACCTATAAGGTGGATCGACGACATCGTAAAGGTAGCAGGAAAGTGCTGGATGCAGGCCGCTACCAATCGATCAACGTGGAAAGCATTAGGGGAGGCCTATGTTCAGCAGTGGACGTCCTACGGCTGAAATGATGATGATGTACTACCACCCCTGAGATGGCTGTTGTTTTTCAATACCATACCCTGTATAATAAATACCTACTGCATACCTGACACTGGCGAGTCTGGTATTTCCTGAGGCGAATATTCACTAAGATCTTCATCTGCCGCAGGTGCCTCTTTTAAAGGATCTTGATAATATGAGTGATCGCTGAAAATGAATAAACATAGTATTTCAATCTCACTTAACATCATGTGTGGCGCAGTCAAATATGTGCCTTGTTTTGCATAAAAGTATATATTTTATTTAATGTCCAACTGAATCTGTGATACTAACATTGACGAAGGTGAACTTTCATTTTCTCCAAATTCAATTTCTATCACCTCCTCATTTTCTATAATGTCATCATCCTGAAATAGGTAGGAAGTACAATAAATAAAGCTTAAAAAGAAATGATTAAAAGAAGTAAAATAATTATATTAGAAGTATTAGGTATCAACATTACTCACGATGGAGTGATTTTTAGCCACCTTAGGCAGGGGTCTGCCTATTATATTGGCTACTTTTTCCTCTAGAGGGGTCAGTGTGGGTGCACTGCTAGGTCCCTCTCCAGTGGCTGTTTGACTTGCATTAATTTTAAAAAGTTTTGCTCTGACTTTTGTTGTTTGATCATTCCATACCTGAAATATTTCAATTTTCATTTCAGTATAAATAATGCAACACACAAATGTATTATAATTTGTCGCTTTATTAATCTAAGAATTTGGCCTACTATACACACCCTTGACCACTCCTTTCCTGTTCTCGCAGGCCCCAAAGAATTCAGCACTTCGGCGCACTCTTGCCACAGTCGGGCAGCAACTTCCCTTGCTTCCTTGGACCTCGCCCGGCCAAGAGCAAGGTCTCGATTGCCTTCCAAAAATTCTATTATGACTTCTAACTGCCGCACTGTAGTGCACCTGCGTCGTTCTTCCATTATCCTATACACAAAATTAAATTTATCAAACGATCTGAGTTTCACCTTCTTAAAACAGTGGATTTAAAAAATAATTTACTCACTTACCAATGCATAAAGAACTTAGCGCACAACCATTAACACTATTGATACAAAACTTCAAAACAAAACGTTATTTGATGCACAATTTTGTATTTAAGCTGCTGCTGCTGGAACGGAATGAAATTAAATCGAAGTGGAACTGGAAATGAAGCGCAAATGAATTATTAGCGCTGGCCATACTCTCNTTACTGTTTTTATTTTATTAGGATATACCGCTTAGTTTAAAAGTTATTACGTTTTCTTTACAATAAGTAATTGGAAGAAAAAAAATTCTATAAAAAAATAAAAAAAAATCTCAAAATTTTTTGACCTCTTTTTTGTCGATAAAAATAGGTCTAGTTTTATCTATTTTCATATGTACACTTTAACGTGACTCACACTGTATATTATATTCTAAAGTTTCGTCCACACTCGATATCCTGCTCACTCTGCTCTTGAGTGAGCAGGATGTCAAGCGCGCCTCGCGAGCCCATGCACCCGGTGTGGACGCACATTAACATATTACGTTTGGTTTAATTGAGCATGTCTACGCATAGCGGTTGATTTGTAAATGACTGAGGGATATGCAATGTCAAGGAAGCAGCTAACCGATGACGAACATTTTTTTTAACTGAACCAGGGTAGATTTTTGTCTGCATCTTACTTCATGGAAAGATAAGATCAGGCTGAAGGTAGAGCACACAATTATGTAAAGATCCATACAAAAAAGCTATGTGATTAAGAGACAATGGCGTAGTTTTACCTTTATAAATTACTAGCGGCTGCCCGCGACTTAGGAGTTGAATTTGAAAAATCCCGTCTTATCGGCACCTACATTCTAAAAGGAATCTCCATGCTTTGAGACTTCTAGTATTTGTAGTTTCTGAGATTTTGTGATGAGTGAGTCAGTCAATGAGTGACCTTTCGCTTTTTAGAAATTGTAGATTTTTATGTACCTATTTCATTAAATGATTTTCACTGCCTCTATTTTAATCGCAAAAGATAAAATCCTCAAGAGCTTTTTCTTTGAACTTTCAAAGGCCTATTCTTACAGCGAAGTATGGAGGAGTTATTCGACCTCCTAAGGCTTTCGTTTCAAAGTTCAATGGATAGGAAATTATGAATGGGTTTGTACAGTTCGCCACCGAAGTTCGGGATTGCTTTCACCTTTAAATCTAGGAGCAAAAGAAAAAAATATTTACACTCAATTTGTATTTGTATAATGCTTCTTAAGTCAACGCAGCAAGGTTTTATTTTATATTGTAGATTTAAAAAAAATCGGGGTAACGTATCGGTTTTTCTGTCAATGAGGAACTGGGTTTCTGTAGACTAGCTTAAGCCCGCGAATTTGTCCGCGTTATCTACTCCTATATAATATTTTGATGTGTAATTATGTTATTAAAATCCATACAGACTGTGGAGACTTTCTAAGCAGGAAGCTGGTGACTCAGTTTTTAGAGTGAGAAAGGTTTTTAAGTAAAAACAAACTAATTAAATTCAAATCAAAAGATAGGTAAAATATTGGCATCTTCAAGTGCTAAAAATAGAACTGTTTTGCATTACAACAAAACAGTTATTATGTGTAGAACTATCATACAACTTTTTGATACACTTAAAGTGTCTGAAAACAGGTTTTTGGTAATCATGGCAGCAATACGAAAAGTTAAAAAAATAATTATCCGTATTCAGCAAAATGTCTGAAAACAAACTTTTTCGTAATACAATTATAAAATCTATGTACATTTTCACTATCAGACGTATTGCTATAATACCGACTGTCTTTTTTTTTGACACAGCAGAAATGGCCTCCCACTCAGTTGCTACACTTTCGACCGTTACTACACACCTAGTCGGGTTCAGAATCATACAATCTAACGATTTTATAGGGTTTTTGCCGTATTGCTATGACACATGGTTTTGGTCGTGGGCTCTCGTACTATTATTTTTTTTTATTTTCATACAAAATAAATTTTATAAAATCCGATTTGTATGAAAATTTAAATAATTAAAATGAAGATATCAATTTTCTGACTTCACCATACCATTTATATGCCCATGTTAACATGGGCTAGTGTCGGCTCATATACCCATTTACCTAACACCCTGTATATAATGATTAGGAGCATCAAAAATATTATAATAAATAAAGATAATTTTTACCTGTTTTTGTGATTGAGGGCATTTTGCCAGTTGAGGTGACCTTCGATAGTAACGCTATCATACCAAATCAGCACTGGGTCTGTTAATTCTTGATGTAAAATTGTATGCAGGTGCTTCACAAACTCCAGCAGAATGTCGGGCTTCGCTATCTGAAATGATAATTTTCAAGTTACGTATTTTTTTAAACAATGCAAGAGTTTAGTGAAATTTTTATTTCAAACTAGCGGCCGCCCGCGACATCTTAAGCGTGGATCCCGTTTTATCCCCTTAGGGGTGCAGTTCGAGTTTTTTTAGGGGTTTTCCGGAAATTATTCGAACTTTTCTCGCCGTAAAAACCATTCTTGGATTTCAACGAACATTAAAAAAAAGAATTGGTAAAATTGGTCCAGGCGTTGTTGATTTAAGTGCTTACCAACACATTTTGCGATTCTTTTTTATATTACAGATAATTACCTACTAAAGTAGTTAGGTGTTATGAATGCTTTCGATATTTTAACAATGGTAACCCATCAGTTACAAACCTTGTTTTCAACATTTAGCAGCCAACCATCAAATTTAAGTGTTTTAGCAATAGCTACTAATGTACTTGCGAAGTTTTTATACTCTGATTCAGAAGCAAGTACTTGATCCCAGAATTCTATACCATCAGACCATTCAGTAATAAGTGTGCCTGTAAAAATAATTACAATTAACTAATTATAATTAACTCGTTCACAATTGAAAAAACATTCAAATTGCACTCAATACATGGGTAGGTAGATATCCACTTTGCCAGTGCAAAAATTGATCATCACCGCGCCTCCGAGCGCCTTACTGGTCATGGGCGATAAATTGGAAAGGACCAGCATTATTGTGGTGAAAAGACGCCAAGTAAGATGGTTTTAATTTTATCTTAAAACTTCTGTTTGTTTTGTTTTTTTAGACCTTTAACTTGTATAACAATTTTATTAAATTATCATTTTACTTATTATGTGAACGTCTTTATTCTGTGTGTGCGTAGAGTGCGTACTGCGTACGTGTGAACGAAAGGCACGATCATTAAATCTGAATTAAAATGTTTGTAAACATCGTTAATAAGAATGAACACCCAGTGGAAATCTACCTACAAAAACATACCTACCAATCACTTTGACGCCGTGCGCGTGACCCACATTGATCCATCCCAAGGGAGGAATTGTGACCAAGTGATGACTGAAGTAACAAAATATATCTATGCCGGCCCAGTTGTAAAATGTATACGCATCATAACGACCCGTGCCATCGATGATGCTAAAAAATACATAAAATCAAAATAAAAACAAATCTCTTGCCAATAAAAAGTAAAACGCTTCTTAAAACTTAATTTTTATAGGTACTACAATAGTTATCAACGCGCACGTAATTTTTTCGGATTATCGGATCGTGTGCAAGCTTCCTAATAACATGGAAAGTAGTAAGTACCAACGTTAAGCCAACATAAATACTTTTTTATTGTTGTGAAAAAGTTAAATGTATTATTAATACATTACATTATTAATATTAAAATTTATTTAGGTTTATTTTATACCTATCATCATGATATCCGTTTGCCATGTCGTGGCAAACAAGTGTTTTTGGCAAACTTGACTCGTCGTGCCTTTCGACTTCTTCCGCGTCCGGATCAAAATGACAGAATGTTTCCGGTCCATCCTGGAATACTCTACTCACGTCCTTCCGTACATCACTCTTGATATCCACATTCCTTATCAACCGCTTGCTGTGCGGTTGTATCTCTTTACACAAAGTTCGCCAAGGAGGAGGGTTTTCCAAGAACATCGAAATTTCACTGTACGTATCTAATGGTTTGCAGGTTAGTTCATCTTCTTTCCAAATATAACTCATTGTTCCAATGTAAAATATTCAGTAGCTAAGTTCGATGCACTAATAACGCATGCACATTTACAAATAAATTTATTAAACAGTCAATTAACACAATTATTCATATTTTAATCTAAGAAATCGTTTGTTTACTTCCCGCAATCAGCTGTCCAACATCTGTCTCTGTCAGGCAGGATTTTGACTTCTGTCAAAGAAATACGACACAGCGCGTAATTCAAACTTGGGACGTGCTTGGGACACACTGAGCACTGGAGCACAAACTGGAGCGTGAGGGAAGCCGAAGAACATCAAACATGATCAAACACAAACTGAACAAGTTATTGTGCAGCACTGCGCTTTTAATCAATTAAATTGTGTTGCAATAATTTTAAGTAGGGCACATGTCAAGGGCTGCATCTTACATCCGTTCAGCAGCTAAAATATTATTGGAATAATACGAGTTTCAGTTTCAGTAAATAATTATTATTAGAACAATACAAGTTTCAGAACAATGGTGATAATTTAACATAATTTTCAACCGCCCCATGCTCAAAATAATAAGAATAATCAATAGAATTAAACAGCTACTCACTGTGGGACTTCTTTGTCCTACTTTACAATAGATAAGTTTGCTCGGTCAATTTGTTGATAAGAGCAGTTCTATTGTTTGTCATTATTTCCTCTCTGAGGTCTGATAATTTCATGCAACTTTTATCGTGATGATGGTGATTCCCAGAATGTATTATAATAAATTAGTACACGATTTAGTACTTGACCAAAAATTGTTTGTTTATTTTGTGGTTTATTTGCTCGACGCTTGATGATGATGATCAACCAACAGTGATCAACCCTATTATGTGCTCTGTGGATCAACGCTTGTCCATGCTTGTCCTACTGCCCTATTAGGATGTAGGGTAGTAGGTCTTGCAAACAAAGTAGTGTGTCCTATTACCCTGTGCTGTGATGATGAAAAATGGAGAACGTAGATGGAGATGGAATCAAAACTAAAATGCCAATGACTTGACAGTGGAACTTCTTGGCGGGAATATGAACCGTCGTGTTAGCAGTTTTGTTTTTATTTTCTAAAATTCGTGTGTAATAATAGAACTGTTTTGCATTACAACAAAACAGTTATTATGTGTAGAANTGAAATCGGGAGCGCGGACACGTCGTGGTAATCAATTTTTGACGACTTACGATTTTTTTTAAATTACTTAATTAACTATTATTAACTATCTCTGTGGTTTAACAACAAGAACCAAAGTTATACTATTAGATAAAAATATTTGTTACTAAAATAATATGATATTCGGGTACTTTTTGGCCCCGGACACGTGATTTTCTTGGCCGGTGGAATGACCCTGCTACGTTAAAAAATGGATTTTATATATTATGCTGTGTAAATCATTTCAGCTGGCATCTATGACGTGGTTTCTGAAAACAGGAACAGTTCATAAAGCCTATTAACTTGGAAAGGCTATGCAGTGATTGAATTTCCACACTGCGAAAAAACAGGACGTTGGCTTAATTACTGCATGGAGAGAGCTTACAAAAATTGCTGCCGACGAGACGTCGGATTTTGATGATGAGAATTTTTGTAAGCTAAAGCTTGTTAAAACAAACCCTTTTTAGTCCACACGTCACGAACTTAATTCATCATCGATGCAGTTGCTGAGATACGCGATTTTGATACCGATATTCAGTGATATCTTCAGTAATAGTTATCACTACGTTGATCCTAGACATGCACAGCCCTTATCTAACGTAGCTATATCCTAATAATAATTGTTTCGCATAGTAATAGCTAAATCAATGCATCAACAAGTCATTTCAAACTTGCTACGTTCATTAATTAAACAGACTGTAGGCGGAGCGGCATTTCTCCCTTTGAAAACAGTGAAGGATGACGCTCGGTAGAAATATTTTGGCATCGGCAGCTATGTGCAGTGCACTTTGGTGCATGTGTTACAGCTAATATCTGGTTATTACAACTGACAGAAATTAGTGCTCTTATAGTCTTTTTCACCTAAGATGATCCGTATGACGTTTCGAGTTTGAAAGATATAGAGATGTCACATAACTAAACCATAGCGATTTATCTATCGATTTTTTTCGAAGAGTTAGTAAAACCTACTTTTAGAGAAATATTTTGTGTAGGTGTTATTTAACAAAAAACATGTTTTTTTTAATTACAAATATTATTGTTACAATTTTTTATTGATAATATTCAAATTTCATGGTTCGTGTTAAAAAAAACGATTCCTAAAAAGTACTGGTTCTGTTTCTTTAAATTAAAAACTATTAATTTATTATCAATGCGTTTATTAAAATCAATAATCGAAAAATATAGTTGATTTTTGTGATGTTTTTAATAACTAAGTATTCACTGCAATTGATTAATGAACCGCGGAAATAATCGATTTTATCATACAAAAGAAATACCCCAGCACTAAATCTATTCCGTTTCACACATTGCGTACATTAAATAAAAAATATTTTTACATCGTATTTAATTAAATTATAATCAATAGACTCAGATTTTAATATATATTTCAAGACAAGTAGTTAATTTATTTTTATTATATTGCTAATAAAATACAAATATTTTTTCAAAAATATTCTGCATTACGTAGTATGCGTAAAATGGATAACCTTGAAGTGTCATACGGATCATCTTACGGCTTACGTGAAAACGACTATAGTCCTCACTCACAACTATTGGCTTGACGTTTAAAATGGGCTCTTAGGGTTCTTGGTGTTAGGTATAGTGATTTATTTTATGTTTATTTAAATTCAAGATAGTTCTACAGCTAAGTTCTGGAACTTGCATGTTATTGAGCCTTAGAATGTCAAGTTCTGTGCTATGGTAGAAGGCGATTTAAAAATCAACATTTGGTAGAGTATTACCGGTGCTAAATCTCACTGGTATCATTTGACATGTTTTTTTTTCTGGACAAGAATGTCTAAATACATGAAACAATGGGGTCCCTGAGGCTTTGTTTTTTTGGGAGTGATGGTACTTTTTGCACTTCTAATTTTCCAATGATCACAGAGAGTCGATGGATAATATTAAACAGCACTGGTAGAGACATCTAATTTTACTATCCGCTGGTACTCTCGGCCTCCTAGTATTAATGTACACAACAATAGAACTATTAATTAGCGCTGAGCCCTCTCCCGGCGCTGCTGACGTGACATTTGCAGGATTATGCGCCGCAGCGCTGCCAGCTCTGCGCACTGGCATGTTTATAATAAGCCAATAAAAAACAAAACTGATGCTTTAGGATTCAGTTTGGACCAGTTAATTCGTTTGAACTGAAAATGATAAACTACAGCGGATTTTTGGGAAGAGTTATTTTAAAAATGTTTGAGCTTTCAAAAATGGTATGGCTACCATGTTTTGAAATTTATTTGTATGTGGTATATTAAAACAAGACAAAGATACCTATATCACTCATAGTGGCACATTTAATTTTTTTGAGTTTTGACTGAGTTTATTGCGCTGCTTCTTCTCAGCACTGGGCTACTTATTGGCCCAACAGTGGGAGTAGGGTTTAAGTAATACAAGGACGTGCAAAAGCGCTTTTTAAAAGCCTGTTTTCACAAAATGAGCTACTTTTATAATTAACTATTATTCGTTCCCGTGCAAACTCTCACGACTTCTATTTTACAATAATTAATGAACAGGAACATCCCTGTTGCGCGTACGCATTTCTATTCGCCAGTGCGTTGTCCTAATTAAAATAACTAGTAATGAGTGTCGCATTCCCCGTCGTGGTCACGTCGGCTGATTTATGGGGGCGAGAGCAGTTTTAGCCGTCAATAGCTCAGGATTGTGTCACGCTGGCCGGCTCACAGATGCTTAACAAATGGGGGCACATCAAACTTAATACTGGCAATATCTAATGTCGTTGTAATATGCCACAAAAAATATGTATTCCCCGTCGTGGTCACATCAGCTGATTTATGGGGACGAGAGCAGTTTTAGCCGTCAATAGCTCAGGATTGTGTCACGCTGGCCGGCCCACAGATGCTTTATGAATGGGGGCATATCAAGCTTAACGCTGGTGGTATCTTGTGTCATTGTACTCATATTTAGTTACCGCATTTCAACTAAAATGATGACATGCTACGAGTATATTTTACCTAAAATGATGTGGAGTAGTTTTAGCCGTCAATAGCTCAAGATTGTGTCACACTGGCTGGCCCACAGATGCTTTATACGTCATCAATCTAAATATTGGGGTATCCTAGTGTGATTGTAATAGGAGCTTTATTTCAATAAAGATGATGTGCTGTGCATTGATTACAAAAAAATTAAGCTAACTCTAAAAAGGTACCCAAATATTAATGAAGCGATTTCGTAGATAAAAATAGCAGATTCGTAGATCGAAATAACCAAAAATATCGTAGAACGTAACTTATTGATTATCTAAATTACAAACAACCTTCTAATTAGACTATTAACAACGCGTCCGCGTTTTGAAGAGCCTCTTTTAAAATATTATTTTAAATTATTAGTTAGTAGAGATACAGACTAGCAATTTAATGCTCTATTAATTAGTTCAAGTATGATTCGAGGAATTCAAAATGAAAATATTATTTTATTGTAAATTAGAATTTTATTGTTTAATCCGTTTTTTTTTTAAATTACTTTTAAAATTGGACTAACTCAATCTTGGGTTCAATTATTCCTAATTTGGTTAGGATAATAAAAGGTTTGAAATAACTTGATTTTTTTTAAAGGAATGTAGTGGATCTTGAAGTCTGACACCAAGTTCATCAGAAGAAGACCAGGTGCAATATTTCAGAAACATTTTACATATATGTATACCTAATGTGAACCTTGAAGTGAGCGAAAAATAAAGTAAATGTTTTCCACACTCACGAAACTAATGCCACAATTTATTTAATAAGTAGGTATTATCACTGATAATAATAATACTAGTGGATTGTGAAACCTTTGAAGATGTTTAAATTCAATTTATAAGAAAACATTTTTCAAGTAGGTATCGCGCTTAATAAGGGTTGTGAACTACATAGCGACTTTTCCAAGAATCCTTAAGAAAATAAACATTGAGTTTACTGCTACAGTTTCGAAGAAAAATTGATTTAGAAAATTGAAATTGAAAAATCTTTATCGAAGACTATCGGATGTCTATTCTATTTTATTTTTACGCTGACTGAGTACGAAGGGAAGGTTTTTAGTTGCTATTATTTATTTGTAAATAGCTCTACTGAGAATGTGTCGCGTGTCAGAAAAGAGAAGTGCTCACGTATGGTTCACGGTACCTACAGTAAATAAATATCCTTATACTATCAACAATCTTACTACGGGTGTTACTTACTTATTTAGTCTCAAGGTACTTATCTTTTAGATACCTGAATAATAATGTTCCAATCTAAAAAAATGCTACGAATTTCGTAGCAAGTAAATATGCCCGTTATCTAAGTCGTAAAGTAGACGTATTAAAAATTAAACAAACAAAGTCTGTACTTCATAGTTGTGTAATACGATCAAAGGAAAGATGATAATTATGTGTAAGCTTATTAGTTACCATTTATTAATTACTATAGCATATACCTCAAAGGCCTTTATTTAAAAGAGACAAAGTACCTGTTGCGCTACATTCAAGAGTGATTCAACGCGTAAGCTTCGTTATCTTCCAAGATGATAAATAACCGTTCTCTGTGACTATTCGGTTAAGGAAGCAACTGTAACGTCTCGTGCTAGAATGAACCGCTTTGAACTATTTCAGTCGTGAACAATGTGCTTTGTGCTTCTGGGAAAGAACGTTCTTCACACGGCCCGACTGTTTACTATGAAAACCGAACGGCTCGTTTCTTTTGCCACATTCGTAGGTTACGCGGCGCTGTTGACAAAATACACGCTAAAGATTTATAACAAGCCAGTAATACGAGAAAGGTCTTAGTGCAGAGAAAGGTGATTGAAAGCTGAGATGTTTAATTTTTACACACTAGCCGTAATCGAGATTAGATTCATTGTTTTCATAAAATCAAACACTGAATTTGTAGTATTGGTTTCGGATAGCTTAGATCTAAAGAGCTCCCGGTTACTCCTGTTACAACACATTAATGCTGTGTCTACTAGAAGATTGTGAAAGACATGCGTATTTTTA